TCGCTATAAAAACCGACCGGGAATCAATTACTTTGGCCTCTTCGGGCCTTCCTGGAGGCCCTCTTGGAGGCCTCTTGGGCCGTCTAGGGCCATCTTAGGGCCATCTTCGGCTGTCTTGGTGGGCTCCTGGCCCGTCTCACTCCGTCGGAAGCCGTCTTGGGGGCTGTCTCTTGGCCGACGTGGGGCTCTCTTGGAATGCTCTAGGGCCGTCTTGGAAACTGTCTCGGGCGTCTTGGAGGCCTCTTGGGCCGTCTTTGGGCCTTCTGTGGGCCGTCTTGGGGGCCTCTTGGGCCGTTCTGTGGCCATCTTGGAGGCCTCTTGGGCGATCTTTGTGGGCTCTTGGGCCGTCTCGGGCCGTCGGAAGGCTGAAAAGAAGCAGATGCCCAAATCCTTCAAAAACCAAAGGAACATTACGCTACCGAGGAACCCCACATACTGAGTCTTAATCTTATGTGTTTGCTTGTCATTATCATCTATGCGCAATCCTGCGTTCTAAACCCTCGTCGCGAATCGTCGTCGTACTTGTCGTACTCGTCGTCGTACTCGTCGTACTCGTCGTCGTACTCGTTGCAGTTCTATCGTCTTACTCGTCATCGTACTCGTCGTCGTACCTCGCCATCGTACTCGTCTTCGCATTCGTCGTCGTGCTCGTCGACCCTGGCGCGCATAGAGACCGCGCTGAGGGACCACCCCCTATGCACCCTCTCTGGTGTCGGGAAAGTGCCACCCCTGCCACGCTCTCCGACCCTGGCGCGCATAGAATGCCACCCCTGCCACGCTCTCCGACCTTGGCGCGCATAGAGACCGCGCTGAGGGACCACCCCCTGCGCACCCTCTCTGGTGTCGAGAAAGTGCCACCCCTGCCACGCTCTCCGACCCTGGCGCGCATAGACGACCGCGCTGGAGGGACCACCCCGGCTGCGCACCCTCTCGGTGCGAGTAAGTGCCCACCCCTGCCACGTTGCCACGCTCTCCGACCCCTGGCGCGCAGTAGAGACCGTAGCTGAGGGACCACCCCTGCGCACCCTATCTGGTGTCGGGAAAAGTGCCAACCCCTGCCACGCTCTCGACCCGGGGCGCGCCATAGAATGCCACTGTCCACGCTCTCCGACCCTGGCACGCATAGAGACCGCGCTGAGGGACCACCCCTGCGCACCCTCTCTGGTGTCGAGAAGGTGCCACCCCTGCCGCGCTCTCCGATCCTGGCACGCATAGAGACCGCGCTGAGGGACCACCCTCTGCGTACCCTTTCTAGTGTCGAGAAATGGCCACCCCTGCCACGCTATCCGACCCTGGCACGCATAGAAACCGCGCTGAGGGACCACCCCCTGCGCACCCTCTCTGGTGTCGGGAAAATGCCACACATGCCACGCTCTCCGACCCTGGCGCGCGCTCCTTAGCATGCCACCCCGGTGCCATGTCTGCCGGAACCCTGGCGCCTAGAGGACGCGATTGAGGGACCACCCCCTCGCGCACCTTATCTGGTGTCTGAGAAAGGTGCCCAACCCTTTCCTGGCCACCTCTCCGAAACCCTGGCGCGCATAGAGACCCGCTGGAGAGCCCACCCCCTGCGCACCCTCTCTGGATGTCGCAAAGTGCCACCCCTGCCACGCTCTACGACCATGGCACGCATCATAGAATGCCACATTTCAACGCCGTCTCCGACCTGGCGCGCATAGAGACCGCGCAAATGAGGTGACCACCCCCTAGGCACCCTCTTGGTGTCGGGAAAGTACGCTCCTGCCGACCACCCCTGCCACGCTCTCCGACCCTGGCGCGCATAGAGACCGCGCTGAGGGACCACCCCCTGCGCACCCTCTCTGGTGTCGGCAAAGTGCCACCCCTGCCACGCTCTCCGACCCTGGCGCGCATAGAGACCGCGCTGAGGGACCACCCCCTGCGCACCCTCTCTGGTGTCGGCAAAGTGCCACCCCTGCCACGCTCTCCGACCCTGGCGCGCATAGAGACCGCGCTGAGGGACCACCCCCTGTGCACCCTCTCTGGTGTCGGGAAAGTGCCACCCCTGCCACGCTCTCCGACCCTGGCGCGCATAGAATGCCACCCTGCACGCTCTCCGATCCTGGCGCGCATAGAGACCGCGCTGAGGGACCACCCCCTGCGCACCCTCTCTGGTGGTCGAGAAAAGTGCCACCGGCCACGCTCTCCGACCCTGGCGCGCATAGAGGACCGCGCTGAGGGACCACCCCCTGCGCACCTCTCTGGTGTCGGCAAAGTGCCACCCCTGCCACGCTCTCCGACCCTGGCGCGCATAGAGACCGCGCTGAGGGACCACCCCCTGTGCACCCTCTCTGGTGTCGGGAAAGTGCCACCCCTGCCATGCTCTCCGACCGTCTGCAGGAGAAGGGGAGGGGGGAGGTGTGAGACGCGGGTGCGGCGCGGCAGGGAATAAACCAGGACCCCAGGAAACATGTGGGGAATCAGTGATTTCGGCCTCTTCAGGCCTTCCTGGGGGCTCTCTTGGAGGCCTCTCTGGGCCGACTTGGGGCCTTCTTGGAATGCTCTAGGGCCGTCTTGGAGGCTTCCTTGGGCCGTCTTTGGGTCCTCTTGGGGCCGTCTTTGGGCCGTCTTGGGGGCCTCTTGGGCAGCCCTGAGGCCATCTTGGAGGCCATCTTGGGCGCTCTGGGGGCGATCTTGGGGGCCTCTTGGGCCGTCTTGGGTCGTCGGAAAGCCGAAAAAAAAGCAAGTACGAAAATCGCTCAAAAACCTACGGAAAATCAATGATTTTGGTCCGGCGTGAGAAGGAGGTCGCGTAGCAGGCAGTCGGCGGTTGGAGGCCTGGCACACCTCTCGGGCAGTCTTGGGCCGTCTTGGAGGCTTCTCGGGCGAATCTGGAAGTATCTTGGACCCTCTCAGGCCGTCATGGAGGCCATCTTGGAGGCATCTTGGAGGCCAGCTTGGGCCATCTTGGCCGTCTTGGAGGCGACAGGGGGAACCACCCGGGCATTTTGGGTACCTTTCGGGTGGCCAGCGGGACGGGCCGAAGCCCCAGGGGGAGTTCTGAACGAACCAAAGTCGAAAGGGTTTAGCACGCCGGGCACCCCTGTGGCAATCCAACAGGGGGCGGCGGATCGAAGACGCTTACGGCGAATCACCGCCGCCCCCTGCCTTTTTGGAAGCGCCTATGTGACCGAACGTTGAGGCCAGACCTGCCAAGCTATCGGACCATGTGTTCCCCGAATCGGTTTGGAAAACCTTCGGGGAACACGTGGGCTTCTTGAAGGTCATCTTTGCCGTCTGGAGGCCATTTTGACCCTTTCGGGCCTTCTTGGAGGACGTCTTGGAGGGCTCTTGTGCCGTCTTGGAGGCCATCTTGAGCGTCTTGGAGGCTACTTGGGCCGTCTTGGGGGCTCTTGTGGCCGTCTTGGGCTTCTTGGGCGATCTTTGGGGGCACTCGGGCCGTCTCGGGCCGTCGGAAGGCAGAACAACAACAAATGCCACAATCCTTCAAAAACTGATGGGAAATCAATGATTTCGGCCTCTTCGGGCCTTCCTGTAGACCCGTTTTGGAGGCCTCTTGGGCCATCTTAGGGCCATCTTTGGCCGTCTTGGTGGGCTCCTGGCCCGTCGGACGCCGTCGGAAGCCGTTTGGGGGGCCTCTCTGGGCCGACGTCGGGCCCTCTTGGAATGCTCCAGGGCCGCCTTGGAGGCCATCCTGGGCGTCTTAAAGGCCTCCTGGGCAGTCTTGGGGGGGCTCTTGGGGCCGTCTTAGGGGCTTCTTGGCCCGTTCTGGGGCCATCTTGGAGGCCTCTTGGGCGATCTTTGGGCGATCTTTGGAGGATCCTGGGCCGTCTCGGGCCGTCGGAAGGCCGAAAAGAAGCGAATGCCAACATCTTTTTTTTTTTTTTGTTACTTTTCTGGCCTTCCTGGAGGCCCTCTTGGAGGCCTCTTGGGCCAGCTTCGAGCCATCTTCGGCCATCTTGGTGGGTTCCTGGCCAGTCTGACGCCGTCGGGAGCCGTCTTGGGGCCTCTCTGAACCGGCTTGGGGCCCTCTTGGGGCGCTTCGGGGCCGTCTTGGAGGCCATCTTGGGCGTCTTGGAGGCCTCTTGGCCCGTCTTGGGGCCCTCTTGGGGCCGTCTTGGGGGCCTCTTGGGCTGCTCTGGGGCCATCTTGGAGGCCTCGTGGGTGCTCTGGGGGCGATCTTGGGGGCCTCGTGGGCCGTCTTGATCCGTCGGAATGCCGAGAAGATGCACATTCCAAAATCCTTCAAAAACCTACGGAAAATAAATGAATTTGGCCTCTTCGGGCCCTCCTGGAGGACCTCTCGGAGGCCTCTTGGGCCGTCTTGGAGGTGTCTTGGAGGCTTCTCGGGCGAACTTGGGGTTACCTTGGACTCCCTGAGGCCGATCTTGGGCCAACGTGGCCATCTTGGAGGCCATCTTGAGCCGTCGTGGAGAATTTTTCTGGGAATTGAGCTCCTTGAAGATCATGCGGGGACCCCGGCGGGACGGGCCGAAGCCCCAGGGGGAGTTCTTCCGGAAAAAGAGCCAAACCCAAAACCGAAATCATCCAGCACGCCAGGCACCCCTGCGATGAATCGACAGGGGGCGGCGGATCGAATGGCGTTCGGTCCATCCCGCCGCCGTGCCTTGCTTGTGGGTGTGAAGCCTACTGGATGTCCGTTGGCATCTCGTGGGAGTCCTCTCGGGGGCCTCTTTTGAGGCAGCTTGGAGGCCTCTCGGGGGCCGGCCTGGGCCGGCCCAGGGAGGCCAGGACCAGGTCCTGTTGAGAGTGCGACCGCGAGCGCGAATCCCGGGGGGGCCGCCTCGAGGCCGCCCTGTGGGGCCCCTTTCTGGGCCTCCCTGGGGGGGCCGCCTCGGGGCCTCACTGGGGGCCTCCGGGGCGGGGGGGGGGCCTTCGGGGGGGGGCGGGAGGGCTCGGAGGCCCAGGCCAGAGAGCGTACCGCGGCCTCGAGCCTCGGCCTGTTCGCCCCCCTTCCCCTCCCTCCCGCGGCGCGCATTGTCGGGGGGGCGGAGCTGCAGGCGCAGCACGCGGAGCTGCAGGCGGCGGTCGGCGAGGCGGAGAGGCGGAGCAGGCGCCGCGCGCGCGGGCCTCCTGGCACCCGCCTCGGTGGCCGCGCGTGGGCCCTGCCCGTAGGTCGGGCACGCGCCCCCCTTTCCCACAGGGGGAAGATATTCAAGAGCAGTAGCAGCAAGACTGGTCTGGTGGCGATGTCTCGGGGCTCTCTCTCAACACTAGCTGTGGGTATTCTATGAGAAGTTGGGGCTGTTCTTCCAGAATCCGCCCGTAGGAGAACAAGCCCGAACTAGCCCTATCCCCCCTCCCACGATTTCTACCCCCCTCTGCCCCCGTTCCTCGGTGGCCGCGCGTGAGCCCTACAGTGGAAAGCAATGCCATGAAACGCCCTGCTTTGCCTCCAGCGGGCCCTGGGTTTCTTGGGTTTCGAGGGTCCTGCTGTGGAGGGCGGGACGCCCCTCCACACCAGACGCCGATGGACGCGCCGGGGTCTCAGGGTTGGGTTTCTTGTAGAAGGTTTCTTGTGGTCGAGCTCCTATTGTACCCCCACCCCCCACGGCTTCTACCCCTGCCCCCCCCTCCTGGCGACTCCACTTTTTCGAGCCCAGCTTCTGTGCCCGGTTTCGGGTCTCGGGGCACTCGCAGACCAGCGCGGCTCGAAAAATGACGCAGAAAGACAGTGGTCTGGGCGTGAGTGTCGCACGACGTTGCAATTGCTTCGCTACGCCGGATTGCAGGGCAGTTGCGCTTCGTCGGATCACTGGTTCGGTGGCCACATGTAGGCTTCACGCGTGGCCACCTGCCCTCCTCGTCGGAGCGCGCACCCCCTCCGCTGGCCTAGACATCAGCCACATCTGCTTTTGGGAGCCGATCTCGCGAGAGAGAGAGAGAGAGAGAGAGCGAGCGATTGCTTGGCCTTGACCTCGGCCCCGTGGCTCCCGAACGCATCCGCAAGGGTCTCCAGCACGACGCGGCCCATCTCTGATGCGCCCCACCCGCCGCTGGAGGTGATGTCGCGCGGCATCCCCTCGAATTATGTTGTCCCCATCGTACTTGAGCACCACACTCCAGAAATAAGTTCGAGCATCCAGAAAAGTACCGGAACAGTGTCGAACGCGTATCGCCTCCCATGGCCCGACACGTGAACACCGTCCAGTTTCGGTATTTTCGTAGTGCTGGAAATTCTTGCTGATGGTTCAGGCTAAAACAGGTTGGAACATAATAACCCTCGAGATTCTGCAAACGCTGATGGGGGGTCGAGGACCAGGGCGGGGTGGATATCATGGTCAGGGCCATGACATCGCCCAGGTTTACTGGCCCCATCGCATTCTGGAAAACACGCAACGGGAGGTTGTTCGGCCTCCAGGGGCCCTCGCCGGGCCCCCGGACCGTCAGAGAGCGACTCGGGATGATAAGCCGTTCCCGGGGAAGGGGTCCAGACCTTCGGGAGTCGACTTTGTTCGGCCACGCGCAGAGAGCGGGGTAGCGGGAGGGGGGAAGGCTTGTTAGAAGCACCTTTGCTTCTCAGAAGGCGCGGGCCTTGTCTGTAGATGTAGGGCCTGCGCCTTGTAGAAGCGGCCTCCTTGAAGTGCTCGTTTTCGTGTTCATTGTTTTTCCGATCGGCGCGTGCACTCGCACGTCCCCTCCCCTCCATGGAGTAGATCTTGGCTGTTTGGGGCGCCTGTCTCAAGCAGATGGAGCCTCCCCCATGGGACGGACTGTTGCAAACAGTGGCGTTCAGCAGAGCTCCGGGGCCGGACCCGCCCCCTCTCCCCCCCCTTCCGCCCAGTGTGGGAACTGGGGGTTGGACAGAACCCCCAACAGTGACACGTCGATCAGTGAATTGTCCGTTTTCGGTTCTCGAGAGGGCGCCGCGGCCGTTCTTTTCCAGGCTTGCGCCCGCCAGGTTTGGGCCTCTGGTCGTTTTCACTAAACCACGTTTTACGAAAGGGAGGTCTGTCCATCCCCGAGGAACGCCGCACGGGAAAAAGTCGTTCGCCAAGAGGCCTTCCCCCCGCCCCCTGCCCCCCTCTGCGCGCCGCCAAGGCGTGAGAGCATCCCGACGTTTGTGGGGGCTTGGGCCCCTCGCCCCCCTCCCCCCTCCGCGCCTCCCCTGGCTCGCGCACCCGTGCGCGCCACGTGCCTCGGGCTCCTCCCGCCGGGCCTGCAAGCAGCTGGCTTCGGCCCCGCCGCGAGGCTCATGCCTCGACACCAGGGGCGCCTCCTGGCGCCAGCAGAAGCGCCAGGAAGGCCAGCTACGTTGGCCGATTCTCCGCCCTATACCCTCTCGGCTATCCTGCCCCACTCGTCCCGCCTGGCACGCGTCCGCACACATGCCTCGGGCGATGATGCGCACCCCTCCCTCTTCTTGGCCCCCCGCCCGCGCCCCGACCTCGTGCTGGCGCTGGACTGCGTCGGCGGCGACGACCGCGCCCCGCCGCGCCGAGGGCCTCCACGAGGAGCCTCAAGGCCGCCCAGACAGACAGACAGGCAGAAGCCTTGCGTCCAGGTGGACGCGTTGGCAGGAAAAGTACAAGTGACCAAACGTCACTCGAAACGCTCGAAGCACAGAGGTGTGGCCAAACACCACACGAAGCACTCGAAGCACGCGGGCGTGAACAAACGTCATACAAGGCCGCCCAGATGGATCCGAAGTAGACGGGATCGCCAGTGCATCGGCGATGCGGCTCGATGTGGAGCCCGACTTTCTCTGCGCCGACGTCGCCGATGCATCGCCAACGTCGCGGATACATCGCCGATGCATCTGCAGGGCGGCACGATCCACCGACCACCTCCACTTCGACCCCATGTGGGCTGCCTGGAGGCCCTCCCGATTCCCCCGAAAGGCCGTCTAAAGGCCAGCGAGTCCCTCGAGGGTCTCCGAGGGTCTCCGAGTCCGAGGCTGGGACTGATGCCGCGTCGAGGGCTTCGGAAGGGCCGCTGGAGGCTCTATAGAGGAGGTCTCGAGGGCCACGTTTTCGTTGTGGATGACCCTGGGGCCCGAAAGCGGTCCCCGGGGGGCCGAGCCCGAAGAAAAACGCCCGGCGACGGGGGCTCCCCAGGACGCCCCACAGGCGAGAACGAGGGGGCAGCGGTATCGGTTCCTCTTCCTCCCCGGAGTCTGGCTGGTGCCCTCCGGCCTGGCAGGCCCCTTCTCCTCCTCCTCCTCCTCCTCCTCCTTTTTACGTTAAGCAAGCCTTAGGTGATGACTTGTGGCGTTCCTCCTCCCCTTCCTCATCCTTCTCCTCCTTCTCCTCCTCCCCCTCCTCCTCCTCCTCCTCCTCCTCCTCCTCCTCCTCCTCCTCCTACTCCCACTCTGCACGCTCGACTCCTCCTCCTCTCCCCCGCCCTGCAGCTCCTCCTCCTCCCCGCCCTCCTCCCAGCAGGCCCTCCACCCCTGGCGGCGCGCCCGCCGCCACAGGCAGGCGGGCGCAGAGGTGCAGCGGGAGCGGCAGCGGCTGGAGCTGGACCAGGACGGCGCCCTCGCGCGCGGCCGCGGGGGGGGCGCCTCGGCGGCGCGTGCCGCCGAGGGCGCCGGGGACCGCGGGAGGGGGCGCGGGGAGCTCAGTCAGGGGAGGAAAGGTACCCAGACCTCTGCCCTACCCTTCCCTCGTTTCTTTTTTTCGGCCTCCTGGACGGCCCTCGTCACCACCGCTGGATTCGTTTAGAAGTCCGGGTCAGAACGCATCACGGGAAAGGTCTGGGGAGTAGCGGTATCGGTACCTTTTGGTTTACCCGGGAGCAGGGAGCAGGGCGGAGGAGGAAGGAGGGAGGATGCAGTCGGCCCTGATTGGTGGGCCGTCCCTGCAAAAGCAAGGGTGCCCTTGTGTCCCGCGTCTCGCGACCCATGCCTCCTATATTCCTATGGCAATTTGGCCCTTGGAAGGGTCTTGCGTCCTCTCGCGTGTCCTGTCCAAGCAAGTCCGACTGTAGGATGGGGCAGGACCGACCTCGAAGCGAGGTGGCATGACCGAACACACACACACACACATGTGCACATGTGCACATGTGCACATGTGCACATGTGCACATGCACATGCACATGCACATGCACATGCACATGCACATGCACATGCACATGCACATGCACATGCACATGCACATGCACATACACATACTCATACTCATACACATACACAAAGTCGTGTTCCTGCTAAGTGGGCTTCTGTTCTGCTAAGTGGGCTCCAGATGTGCTTGATCCAGTTGTCAGCTCCGCCTCCTGCTGCCGGTCTTGTCTTTCCTCCTCGTCGTCCTCCTCCTCCTCCTCCTCCTCCACTTCCTCCTCCTGTCCTCCTCCCCTTCCTTCCTCTTTTCACGTCCTACTAGCACCTCGTCCTCTCCCTCCTCCTCCTCCTTGCCTCCTCCCCCTCCCCCTCCTCCTCCTCCTCCTCCTCCTCCTCCTCCGCCTCCTCCCCCTCCTCCTCCTCCTCCTCCTCATCCTCCTCCCTCCTCCTCCTCCTCCTCCTCCTCCTCCCTCCTCCCTCCTCCCTCCTCCTCCTCCTCCTCCTCCTCCTCCTCCTCCTCCTCCTCCCCCTCCTCCTGCCTCGTCGCCCTTCGGCGGCCTTCAGCGGCCGTCGGTGGCTTTCGGCAGCCCCTGGCGGCCTTCGGCGGCCCTCGGCGGCTTTCGGCGGCCCTCGTCGTGTTCCTGCTAAGTTCGCTTCCGATGTGCTTGATCCTGTTGCCAGCCCCGCCTCCTGCTACTGGTGTTGCACTGTGGTTCATGCCAAGTTGCACGGAGAGACCTGGAAAACAACTCCACATCCTCCTCATCGCGCTCCTTCTCTCCCTCGCTCTCTCTCTTTCTCTCTCTCTCTCTCTCTTCTCTCTCTCTCTCTCTCTCTCTCTCTTTTTATCCCGCATCCCCCACAGTGGAAGCCTCTGTCTCATGCCCATCTGCACTTGCATTTTGCATATGCTGCATTGCACTTGCATGGAATGCCATTGCATTGCATTGCATTGCATGGCATTGCATGGCATTGCATTACAACGCATGGGATTGCATTTCTGTTGCGTCACTTCCCATTGCGCTGCGTTGCGTTGCGTTGAGAGTTCCTCGCAACTCTGGGCTCCGAGCTGCCAGGGGCAATGTGGCCTGGCCCATTTCGCCTGACTCATCCTCGCAACTCTGGGATCCAAGATGCCACGCGCGAAGTGGTCCAGTCCATTTCGCCTGAGACGTCCTCGCAACTCTGGGCTCAGATATGCCCCTAACCTGAGGATGTCCAGCCCGTTTCGCCTTAGACATACTCGCAACTCTTGGCTCAGACATGCCGAGCGCGAGGTGATCTGGAAAAGCTTATTTCAGACATTCTCGCCTGAGACATTCTCCTCAACTCTGCGAGATGCCGCGCGCGAGGTGGTCTGGCCAATTTCGCCTGAGACATCTTCGCAACTCTGGGCTCCCAGATGCCGCGCGCGAAGAGGTGCGGCCCGGCTCGCCTGAGGATCCTTGCAAATCCGGGCTCATATATGTCCTGGATTAATGTGGTTCGGGCCCACTTCGCCTGAGACCTCCTCGCAGCTCTGGGTTCCGAGATACCTCTCGCGAGGTGGTCTGGCCCATTTTCGCCAGAGGCATCATCGAAACTCTGGAATCGGAAATGCTCTGACTGAGTTGGTCCAGCACGATTCGCCTGTGACATCCTCGCAACTCTGGGCTCAGATATGCCCTGACTTGAGGTGGTCTGGCCCCATTTGCCCGGGGCATTCACGCACCTCCGAGATCCGAGATGCCAGGCGCCAGGTGGCCCAGTCAAACTCGCCTCCGACCTCCTCGCAACTCTGGGCTCCGAGATGCCGCGTGCGAAGCGGTCCGGCTAATTTTGCCTGCGACATCTTCGCAACTCTGGGCTCCAAGATGTCGCGCGTGGGCTCAGGGATACTCTGACACAAGGTGGTCCAGCCTGTTTCGCCTGGGACATCCTCGCAACTCCAGGCTCAGAAATGCCGCGTGCGAGGTGGTCGGGCCCGTTTGGCCAGAGGCATCATCGAAACTCTGGGATCGGAAATGCTCTGACTGAGTTGGTCCAGCACGATTCGCCTGTGACATCCTCGCAACTCTGGGCTCAGATATGCCCTGACCTGAGGCGGTCTGGCCCCATTCGCCCGGGGCATTCACGCAACTCTGAGATCCGAGATGCCAGGCGCGAGGTGGCCCAGTCAAACTCGCCTCAGACCTCCTCGCAACTCTGGGCTCCGAGATGCCGCGTGCGAAGCGGTCCGGCTAATTTTGCCTGCGACATCTTCGCAACTCTGGGCTCCAAGACGTCGCGCGCGGGCTCAGGGATACTCTGACATAAGGTGGTCCAGCCTGTTTCGCCTGGGACATCCTCGCAACTCCAGGCTCAGAGATGCCGCGTGCGAGGTGGTCGGGCCCGTTTCGCCTGAGACATCCTCGCAACTTTGGTCTCTGAACTGTTGTGGCCTGAAGTGATCTGGCCCATGTCGCCAGAGACATCCTCACAACTCTGGGCTCGAAATTGCGACGCGTGAGGTTGTCCGGTCCAGTTCGCCTGAGACATCCTCGCAATTCTGGGCTCAGAGATGCTCCTGACTTGAGGTGATCTGGCCCATTTTCGCCTGAGACATCTTCGCAACTCTGGGCTCAGACATGCTGCGCCCGAGGTCGCTTGGCCAATATGGCCTGATGCATCCCCGCAACTCCGGGCACAGAGATGATGCGCTCGAGGTACTCCGGCCAGATTTGCCTGATCCATCCTCGCAACTCTGGGCTCCAAAATGCCGCGCCAGAGATGGTCGGGCCAATTTCGCCTGAGACCTCCTCGCAACTCAGGGCTCCGAGATGCCGCGCACGAGGTAGTCCAGTCAGTTTTGCCTGAGACATCCTCACAACTGGGCTCCGATGGGGCCAGGCCCAAGCTTCCTGTTACACTACACTGCTAATATCGAGTTGTGCCCCAGGAGGGGTCCAGGCGCCCCTGCCCCGAGGGGGCAGTTAGCCGGCGCCGAGGCGAGAACATGAATTTCGGACACGCCCTGGACACGTTGAAATCTCCAGCGAGAGGAGAACTTCGAGGGCGAGGAGGAGAACCAGGAGAACGAGGTGGGGCGAGAAGAACCAGGAGGAATAACATCAGGAACACGATGGTGATAACGAGGAAAATAAGAGGACGAGGAAGAAGAAAGACGAGGAGAAAGAGGAACGGGATGACGGGGGGAGGAGAAGGAGGGGGAGGAGAAGGAGGTTTGGGAAGGGGGAAAGGGCAAGAAGCATGGCAAAGAGGACGATGCCAGCAACGACGACGACTGTGATGATGACAAGGGCGCAGGCAAATCAGGGGCGGGAGGACGATGATTCGGTGGACGCGCAAACAATGTTTGGAGCCACCCTGGCTCAAAATCGCTGTCGGGGATGCTGGACTGAGCCTATAAATCGGTATGTTGGTGATGCTTCTCCGCCTCGTCACCATCCTTGTCCTGGTCCTCTTTCTGCTGCTGCCTCCTCCATCTCCCCCCATACTCCTCCTGCTCCTCCTTGCAGCCCCCTCTCTCCTCCAGACTCCAGCAGGGCCCCCTTGGACTGTGCGAATGTTGATGCTAAGAACGGTTCTGCGCCTGTCGGTACCAGTATCGCTATCGATACCAGTACCGATGTCGGTACAGGTACCGGTACCAACCCATGATCGGCATCGGTATTTCAACAGAAGATACAGCCAACGCCAACAGCTTTTCGCTTCCGATCGAGCCCCCTGCCCCTGGGGTCTTAGGCGTTTGCCGCATTCTACGCGTTCTCGGCAAGGCCAACCCAGCGGCCCTGCTGAGAGCACGTGGCGCGGCGAACGTCTAGGATCCACACGGCGGCGTCTGCTGAGATGAGGTTTGCGCTGTAGGGGTCTTCCCACCGAGGCACGCGGGTGCCTCTGCTGAGAGGACGTGGGTCTGACCCTGGGATCGTCGTCTGGCCCTGATGAAACAAGCTCTACTTGGAGGGCGTCGTCTCATCACGCCCAGCGGGCGATCCCGGGATCAGGCCCGCGCCTTCTCAGCAGAGGCGCCCGGGTGCCCCTGCTGAGAAGAGCCTTGCAGCGCAGACTTCCTCTCAGCAGAGGCCGCCGCGTAGATCTCTTGGGCGTTCGCCGCGGCCTCGGCCGGCCGTCCGCCTCTGCCGCGGCGGGCGGCCGCCCGTTCATCCGATTCGTCTTCGTCGTAGTCGTCGCCGTCGTCGTCATCAGGACCCTCATCGTTGTCGTCGACGTTATCATCGTTATCATCACCATCGTCGTCATCGTCATCGTCATCATCATCGCGGTCATCGTCATCACCACCGCGCTCATCATCAAATTCACTCGCAATCAACTTCATGACGAATCGTTGCGACCGTTGTTGTCGTCACCTTGAGCGCCGATGCGGTTGTGATGTATTGCAGTCGCCGTGGTCGGCGGGTCGCCGCCATCGTTGCGATCCACTTCGTCACGGCAATCATATTATTCATCTTCATCCTCCGCTGTGTATTCCTC